TGTCCATATATGTTTCGAAAATTATATGTGAGATTTACGGATATGTGTGTGATTTATGTGATTATAATTATGTGATTTTATATGTTATATCTAACGTGTACATGTTTAAAAAAAAAAAAAAAAAAAAAAAAAAAAAAAAGAAGAAGAAGAGATCAGATTGAGTTGAAACCTCCACCTTCTAAACCTCTACCCCATAAAACTCAATCCCATTAAAACTCTTCACCTTTCAAACCTATACCTCTTAAACTTCCACCCATAAATTAAATCCCACAAAAATCTCACACTCTCTCACAAAATCAGATCCCCTCTCCCGTAAAATTTCCCAAATCCATACTCTCTCTCAAATCTTGAAGAATAGTCAGAGGTGTCCATTCATAATCTTCTTACTCTATACACCTTACGTATATAGGGTACCTAAGAGACTGTGAAGCATTTAATGCTCTTGTCTGCTAATGATAACCCTTTTCTCTTTCCTAGTAACACCTCAACCAAAAGACACCTCCACCCCTAAAAGTGTCTTGTCACCACACCTATTCTAAGGGTCTCAATTGAGATTTCTATCTGAGAATTATACCTCCTCGTAAATCCTTCTTAAACCATACGAAACCTTTCGTATTCCTCTCAGACGAAATTTTTCCAGTTCTATCAAGATCAGAAATCTCTCTCTCAAGCTCTCAATCTCACCGGCGAACACCATGTCTGGAACCAAAGCCATGCAACCCAAAAATTTGCTTACTCTACAACAACAATTGATCGATGGGATGACACTTAATCCGGAGTTCTTTATGTTTGGAGCCGTCGACAAGGAAATAGCAAAGAAGATTCTCAATGCTTTGAAGGATTGTGGACTATACGATTTCTTCACCTACAAATACGTTGGAATTTTTGAAACAGATGTGACCGAGTTCTATTTGCATGCCACTGTGAAGAACAACGTGATTCACTCTAAAGTTGGAAGAACAGATGTTCAAATTTGTGAAAAAGACATCAAGGAGTGCTTCAAATTTCCTGATTCGGAGCTAATGCCAGAAGCTCACCATTATGACGCTCAATCTTTCTAGAGAAATTCGTGGTCCAAAAGCACCTGTAATTCATGACTCAACCAAGCCAAAGAACGTGCTGAAACCAGAATATGATATGCATATAGAGATGATGTACAAGATTCTTGACAACAAGATTGAAAGTGTGGACGATCTATCTGGAACATCTGTGAGTCTGATGAATGGAATCATGCAAGGAATAAAATTCAACTAGGCAAAATACATCTTCAATCGCCTATTATTCTTTGTAAACAATGCAAAACCTAATGGAAGACCACTTGAAGGAAATCATTTTCTCCATAAAGTTGGGTATGGACTTATTATTGGAGAAATTTTGAGAAAGAAGAATGTGCCTCTTCGAAGACACAAAAATGTTGGAATCTACAAAACACTTTTCAGAAAATTTGGACCCGACTATGGCAAGAAAACAAATCGAAGAAAAGGATTTGAAGGAGGTGGTTCTACAAGCACACCTCAAAGCTCTCGAAAAAGGAACAGTAAAACTCCATCTGCAGCAAGTGCACACATGGGTTCTAGCAACCCAAGCAACAGAGATCAGGAAGCCGTAAGCTCGGCTATAGCACTTATTCCTTTTCAGGAAGTTGCAGAATCTGAAGCTCATGAAGTTGAGATACCCGTAATGCCAATGGAAGAAGATACCACCCGAATGGAGTTTGCAGGAGTTGAAGTGCAAGTTTCCAATGACTTGCAAAGGAGAATCTCGAATCAATCTGCAGTTGAAGCTAGTGTTGAACCCATTGTGTTCGACGAAACACAAACTCGAGATGATCCAGAACTGATGAAGGAATTAAACCGAGTTCAAGCATGGAAGGAATGGAGACTTGAAAGATATCACTCTTTTATCTCCAAAGTTGATTCAGAGTTAATACAAAGTGAAGAATTAGCCTTTGAATGGCTAGGAACTAACTCAATGCTTGAAGCACTAAACATGGATGCAAATCAAGTTTATAGGCTGAAGCTTCAAGAAAAGAACAGTAAAGGAAAACGAGTGGCCGCAGCAACTCAAGAAGATGCCAATCAAGTCTCTCCAAATGATATTGAAAAGGAGAATGAAATGAGGCTACAGATTGCTCTACACAGATCGTTGACTGACACTCATCAACATCCAGGTGATACTTCAATTAATATAGCCAATGATTTTCTTGAAAATTTTGGAGAAAGGGCAAATGAAGGAAGTACACTTGTAGAGGTACCAATTTCAGCTTCTGAAACTCATGAGTCTATTCCTGTCAGAGTTCACTGTGCTGAACTTTTGATATCAAATGTGACCCCCACCAATATTGATATAAATGAAATGGACCCTACAAGGGATGAATTAAGAGACCAAATTGATGGTGAAATCAGACCATCAATTGTGGGGGAATACTTATATAAAGCGCCAGTGCACAATAACACCTCTGTGATGTCTCTTCAAAATAACTCTCTGGAAGAAGTCAATTTAAATACAGAGATTATTTCAAGAACAGAGGTTATTGAAGAAGAAACTGGAAATCAACTTCAAGAAGCCGAATCACCAGAAGAAAATTTACAGCTTGTTGAAAATCCAGTTCTTGGTGATTCATGAAGGAATTTGTTCAAAAGTCTACACTCTCTGAACATGAGTAGAAGCCGAACCCGAGAAGAAGATGAAGATGATTTGTTAACATCACTATTTGCAAAAGTTACAGAATCAAGTGATGTTGTGTGTCAAAAGATTGGAACTACTCTTACCGAGCAAGGACATCTCTCGTTACAACACTTTGAGGACACACGAACAAATTTGAAGGAGCTATTGGAACATCAAAATGCTCTGCAAACAAAGATAGACAGAGCCGAAAGACATCTGAAAGGAGATCTCACCGAAGGATTATTGGAGATAATCCAACTTATGAAGAAGGAACGAGAAGCTGCCGAGAAGATCAACAATGAAAGACACATGAGACAAATAAAGGCCATACAAGATCAGGAGACAAGGATAAATCACCTTGAGGTTGAATTATCCTCTATGGCTAACAAAATATCTTATTTGTAGGATGTTTCTCTCAAAACACATGATGGTGTTAAACTTGTTAAAGCCAATCAAGAACAAGATTCCAAATCCCTTGACTTTTTGATTGATAATGCCATAAGGGGGGAAGAAATTCTCAATCATCTGGCTTTACAACAACATGAATTCATCATTGGAAGTCAACCGCAACAGCCAGTTTTGACCGCCGCACTAACAAAAGGCCGAGGCCGAGGACGTGGTCAACAATCCCAAGTTGGTTTCACTCAATTTGCAAATCCGAGTCTTGGATCAAGCTCATCTAAAGTTGCTGAAACTCGAAATTGGTTCGAATGCTCAAAAGGAACCTTAACACCGCAGAAAATTTAGACATCCGAGAATGTGCCAAGTATGGTGAAAAGATGGCACAAAGCTGATCAAGCTCAATGGATATCTGAGAAGAATAAGGAAGAAGAAGCAAAAAGGAAGCAAACCGAGATGTGGTATGAGCTCAGAGATTATACCAACAATAATGGTGAAAGTTTGGAATTCCAAAGAAGCTTTGAAGAATGCATAATTTGGTGGGAAGCCGGAACTCTTCCGGGCACCAATATTAAAGAGGCCTTTGGACACTACATGGCTGGAAATGTGACTAAGAGATTTGAATGTGAAAAATTCAAGAATGATATCTGCAAGATGAGAGAACATATCAAGGATATATTGAAAGCTGACATGGGAGTCAAGAAACCCAGAAGGTAATCCGATATGAACTCCTCAAAAATATGATGTTTTGAATATCTATTTTGGAATGATTTTGGCTATAATAATATTTCCTCTAATCGACTAATATGAATAAATATTTCCCATGGTCTGATCTAAGCCTGTTTTGATTTATTTTGGCTATCATGTATTAGTCCGTGAATTAAAAGACAAGAATTGTTAAACGCATGCAAAAATTTGAAAAGATAAAAATTGATTAAAAATTAATCAAGGATGCGTATAGGACTTGTCTGAATTAATTCACAAAGTATTTTCTATTTTCCCTAGAATTAATTTTGTCAAACTCATCTTGGCTTTGTCAAAATAAAATTGAGCAAAAATTGAAATTATTTTTCAAAGACTTAAAGCCAATGTTTGAGTATAAGTTATGGCATTATCAAAAGGGGGGAAATTGTTAGGAATAAATTGTAATAGATTTTGATATGCCATATTGTAAATCGTAGATCCCCAATTTTATTTTATTAGACTAGTCGAGTCATAGACCAAGAAAGGGAAAAATAAATTCATTAGTTGAGGAAATGGATGAAGAAGAGATAAAGCCAAAAATCAAGAATTTGCCTAGAGAAAATGGCAAACAAAAGAGGAAGATGTATGCGTAGTATATTCAAGAAGAAATCCCTCAAGAAATCCCGAAGAAGAAAGAACGTGACTTAAAGTTTGCATGAAGCTATCTTGAAGATCAAGCATCTATGGAAAGAAAGGAGTACACCAAGTGAAACAAGAAGATAACCAAAAAGTAGTACGGATGAGTTGGTAGAAGCTTAAATTATTATATGCAAGGTCACAGGTTCGAATCTAAATTCCATCATATAAAGTATGAGGCGATGGTTGTGATTAAGGGATGAGGGATGCAATTTCAAATTGAAGGGATGAAAGTAACACGGAGATCTTGTTGGAATAGGATGATTAATTTTCGCTCTGCACCATACTCTAACAATTTACTTACTGCTCTTGCTTGCTTCTCACGACGAGAATAATCTTGACACAATCTACACACACCGTATCGTTTATTAATTTATCTCTGGCTTAGCAATTGTGGTACTGTGCTAAAAAGTTTGAAAGTCTATTCACCCCCCTCCCCTCTAGACTTTCACCTTACCTCTTCTGGGACCTGGTACTGTGCTAAAAAGTTTGAAAGTCTATTCACCCCCCTCCCCTCTAGACTTTCACCTTACCTCTTCTGGGACCAACATCATCCTTGATGAAGATGGCCATGCTTATGTAAGATACTTTATGATGCTAACAAGAGTCTTCTTCAGATCTTTTAATTTTGTTCATAAGGATCTGAGCAAAGATCCCACAGATATCACATCAAAACTAGTCTCCTCCTACTTCTCTCTTAAATACAAATGGAAATAATGCACTGCTGAGCCACTGCATTGTTTAACACTGAAGTCATACTTTATAAACAAATAGCTGGCAAGTGGGCTATTCATAGCAATCTCATGACCTTGCATTAGTGTTGATTCGTTGATTCTTTAACCTGTGTCACAGCCAGATGATAAAGCCTGCATTGGTGAGGTCGGTTTATTTCCTATCAATTTCGCAGCTAGTGAGATCCTACTGAATGCTGATCATGAAAGTGTATACTTCAAGGGAATGCCAGTGCACAAAGGAATGGTATATATGCACTAAAAAATAGTAGAAAGCCAGTAGTAGAATTTTGCGACTTAATTCTCCAAATGTTAAATGAAATATGAATAAAATAATTACTTTCTATAACTGCTCTCTATTAAATAAAAAAAAAATTGAATTGATTGGAATGTATCATGTTTTATTTTGTAATGTCATGTGATTTTCAATATTTGTAGACTTTTCTATGTAAATTAAACAACTTGACTAATTATATTTAGTATTAATAACTGCTAATATTTAAGCTCATCTTCAAATGTCATTTAGCTTTGAAATATTCATACTTTATTGGTATTTCCAGCAACTTAGGAGGCATGGTGACATCCTTAAAAGAACTGTTGGTGGTTATCTTGTTGTATAAGGGAGAGCTGATGACACAATGAATCTTGGGGGTATTAAAGTAAGCCATTGCAAGTAACTTAAATCCCTCTTTAATTTCTCTATTCTCTTTCTGTCTGTGTTAATCAAATAGAATATATTGATTTGCCAGTTCATTTATTATGAGCTATTCAACATTTGAGCAGCTAAAATGTTTGTGCTCCTATAAAGTGTAGTTGACAATTTCCATGTAGGGGTGAGCATCGATTAGTTACAATCAACAATCAACCGAAAATCGAAAGTTATTTTTTTAATTTTCATAACCAATCAAAAACTGAAGTTTGGTTTTCAGTCGATTACTGAAAAACCGAAGGTCATAACCCATCAGGCATTGGGCTTATGGAGTGATGTACTAAACGTAAATAACCTCTCTCTCTCTCTCTCTCTCTCTCTATATATATATATATATATATATATATATATATATATATATATATTCAAGATTATATGAGAACACTTAGGTGAGAACGTGTGAACAAACATGAGTGCACAGAATCTACTCCCAGGCATGCCTAGATGATGGTGGAGACCCTGGAGTAGATTGCGTGCACTCACGCTTGTTCACACGTTCTCACCTAAGGAAGTGTTCTCATTTGAACACAAGTCTATATATATATTATCAGTTATTTGGTGACCGCAGTTTTTGAATGTCCATAACTGACTAATAACCAATAATTTTTTTAAACTTATAACCAATGGAAAATCAAAATTTTTGGTCAATTCGGGCATTGGTTATCAGTTTCGTCGGTTTTTCGGTAATTATGCTCACCCCTATTTCCATGTACTATCTTTGTATCATTCTGTAATATGCTTTTCATTCGGATAAGAATGCATAAGCTGCATGCACATCCTTGAACATTGCAGCCACTTATGTTCACAGTTTGGTTCTGTATGAGTCTAAGGGTACATTTTGCCTTCTCTGCATACAGACAAGTTCAGTTGAAATAGAGCGTGTTTGCAATCTGGCTGACAGAAATGTTGTCGAAACAGATGCTGTCAGTGCATCGCCAGCAAATGGTGGTCCTGAACAGTTAGTTATTTTTGTGGTGCTCAAAGAAGGATTTAAGATTGCACCAGAAGAGCTGAAGACAAAATTTTCAAGAGCCATACAGAGCAACCTTAATCCTTTATTCAAGGTTTGTTTCTCTTAAGTCTTTAGCGATGCTTGAATACTTTATTAAATCTGTCCTTTGTATTAACTGCATTGTATAGTATTTTTAACTTTACATTAGTTAATAATTTGAAATAAATCCTCTAAAGCAAACTGAAAAATACATGATGGAAGCACATAGTTGTTTAAGAAGGCCTTTGTGGATTGTGATTTTAATTTACCACTCAATCTAGGATCTTCAATGGCATTTAATATAAAATGTTGTCACATTGGCAGTAATGATTTTGACCTTCAGGACTTAGTATTGATAGATTCCAATGATGAACATGTTCATCTTTTCCCATTGATCATAGGTGAGTGCTGTAAAAATTGTTCCATCATTTCCACGAACAGCTTCAAATAAGGTACTGAGGAGACTTTTAAGGGATAAATGGAAGCAGGAGCTTCACACAGAGTAAACTTTAACTCACTATCTGGATGATGCAAGAGACATGGTACTGGCCTGTTGTGCATATTGATGTCTACATAGTTGGAAGTTTAGTTTATCATACATATATGTGTGTATGGTTGTTGTATGATGACAATGTAGCTTGCTTTATGATCTGTGTCAGAAAATAAAGTTCTAGAAGTCTCATGAATAATCTTTTTGCACGTACGTGTACAAGAATAATCTGTGTGCTATGACTGTCTTTACCTGCCTAAAATTTATGATTCAAGAAAGCATTATAAAAGTTCTATCTATTTCATTGATCAGATGATAAACTGAATACATGCTTTGGATACTCTTTCTTTTCTTTTTATTTCACCACTGCTAAAAATCAAGAGTGAAGCAGTTCTTATTATTGTAAGTACTCATACTCTCATATTTTTGCAAATTCAACTGTTTCCTTCCCATCATGAGCTTTCCTAAAGAAATGCTTGACATAGTCCGAGTAAAGAACTTGCTTGTACATTGGTTTCTCGCCGCTGTCTAACACTTCCTTCAAAGGACCAATAACATCACTAGGCCTAGGATTGACAAATATTGGTACTGAAACCCTGTTCTTGCTCTCATTAGCAACCACACGGTGCTCAACACTCTTGTATTTCCCATTGCTCATAATCTGAAGTGCATCTCCAATATTACTCACCAGAGCTCCCGGGACTGGCGGGACATGAATCCAGGTGTCATCATCCTGTTTTCGGATGTAGAGTCCTCCAATGTGATCTTGGAGAAGGATAGTCAGTGTTGAGACATCTGAATGGCGTCCTACTCCTATATATGGTGAGTTCGGGGTTTGGACATATAGGGTAATAGTTAAGGTTTATCCTCTTTGAACCCATTAGCATTAGTTCTTTTTCTCTGTCAATCTCTTTGACATTCAAACCTTTCATCAGTGCCTCCAAGAGTCTCCTGATCACAGATTCAGACATTCTAAGGAACTCGAGTGCTTCATCCCTGAAACATTGACATTAATTAGTGCCAAAATAATGAAAAAAAGGAATTTTTTGTTATGTCATTATGTCTTTGAGTTTTATTATTCTAACCTGCAAGCAGGAGGCCAAAGTGCAGCAGCTTCATCTTCAGAAACATAGAAGAGACTGAGATAATCTTTCCACTCAAAAGCCTTCTCTTCGTGGGGGAGTAAAACTTGTTCCAAACCGGACACAATTCGAGGCAGAGTACTCCTTCAGGTACTTTCTCTTCTCTTCCGCTGGCAACTCAAAAAACCTCTGAGTTGCACTCTTCACATTCTCAAATACCCCGGTAGGGATCCCATGATTGATAATTTGGAAAAAACCCCACATTTGTGCTGCATCCACCATCATATCCACCACCTTTTGCTTGTTCGAATTTGACATATCAATAACTGGGATGAAAAGTTCAGACGCTAACTTGCTTGTAGCAATTCTTTCTCTGGGTGGCTGAATGAATTGCTTAGGCAGAATCTGAATTCCCATGTCTGCAAGGCCTTTGACTCCATGGCCTTCATTTATGACAAATTTCGTGATTTCTTGTGCACTGTCAAGGTTTGCTAACAGCGATGGAGCCATGGCTATTATCTTATTATTAGTATGTGTTTGAAGAAGAAATGGTAAAGGTGATGGGTTTTAGGAAGCGAGAGTAGAGGAATATATATACTACTGGCGTTGTTGTCGTCAACAGTCTGCACATCTCAATCTCTAGCTTACTTTGGTAGTGATTTTCATGCCGTCCTGTTGTCTTGCTTTAGCAAACAGAACTAAGATAATACTTGTTGTTATTATTATTATTATTAAAAATTTTATTAATTTAATAATTTTGTTAATTTAATTTTTTGTAGGCATTTGAAAGAGATAGTCCGTATTCTATCGACGACATAAATGAGGTTCGAGAGCATTGGTTAAAGTTCTTCTTTTTCGAATGCTTATAACTTTTATTTTATTGATAAAAAGTATTTTGTTTTTTATGATAGTATTGATCGAGTTGGGCATGTTGTGATAATATTATTGTATTAAAGTATGAGAATTTTAAGTGCTATATATTGTATTTTGATGATAGTATTTGCATTGTGTGTTAAAGGTATTATTTTAAAGTGGGTTGATAGTGGAGTAATGTTGATAGGATTTCAATAAGCTGTAACAGGTACAAGAATTATAAAAAAAAAATTAGGGATTTTAATCAAATAAATAAATAATAAAAAAATTAAAATGTCATCCGCGACCATTCCTAGCCAGAAATGGTCGCGGATGACATTTTATTAAAATAATAAAAATAGAAAACGCGACCATTTCTAGCCAGAAATGGTCGCGTTTTCCCTTCGAATTAAAAAAAATTATACAATACGCGACCGTTCTTTGTCAAGAACGGTCGCGTATTACTAACAATGCGCGACAATTTCACAATGGTCGCGTAAAGTCGATGTCTTTCCGCGAGCCTCTCATAGGCAACCATTGTACAATGGTCGCCTATTGTCTTTTACAATGGTTGCCTATCTGCAATTCTGTACTAGAGTCTGTTATTTTTTTTGAGGAGTGAGCAGTAGAAACATATCCTGTCTCACTAGGACATTTAGTCCTGTTGTTTTGAGGAGTGGTTAGCGGAGTCTACCACTAGGGTATTTACCCTGTTGAGTAGTAGTCAGTAGAAACGTATCCTAGTTACTAGGACTAGTTACTACCCGTTGGGCCTGGAAACCCATTGGGGGTGTGCACACTTAAGGTATTAGTTCTGTTCCACTTTAATGAGATTTTTGTGTAGTGTTTAGTAGAGTGAGTACTGTTCATTAGGGCTTATTGAATAATACCCTGCCCATTATTTGGTTGGTTTAAATGGGATTTCTGCATAGTGTTCAGTAAAGTTATTACTGTTCACTAGGGCTTAAATAATTAAGACCCTGCCCATTACTTGAGATTGAATGGGATTTTGTGTAGTGTTCAGTATGGTGATTACTGTTCACTAGGGCTTGATGAAACAAGACCCTGCCCATTGTGTTGAAATTGTTGTTCCTCCATTTTGGAAAAAAATATATTACGTTTGAAAGGTTCCAAAAATTCCTATTGTGAGAAATACTGATTTTGTATTATTGATGAGAATAAAAATGTTTAAGGGGTCATTCTAGATACAAACTATCTTCTCCTATGTGTTACATGCTATGTGCAAAATATTTTACGGGGTGAAGTAGATCTTACAAGCTTAATGCTGAATTTGTGTGTTTCTTTGTTTTCTATTCTTTAATTGTTTTTGCGGGAACTCTTGCACGAGCATTGGGCATGAGAATGAGCGAACCACTTAGAGATATCATTTATTAGTTAGACAGTTGAATTGTTAGTTGTTTTTGTACTATTACATATCTTGAGTTGTTTATTGCAAGTTCTAAATTTAGCCTTAGCACTTAGGTTGTTGGTTGCCTAAGTGTGGCGGTAAAACCCATTTTCTTTTGATTAGTTCATGCTTCCGCTATGAGTTTAGTAAATTGTAAATTAAGGAGAAAATTTTAAGGAAATTTTGCATATGAAAATTGGGGTGTTACACCCCCACTGACTTCTTTTCAATATTTGGGTCCCAGGATCTTTTGTGGAACCCGAAACCATGTTTAGATACTTTTAAACACAAACGACGACACCACGTAGTCAATTAATGGATCAAAACCAAGAATCATATTGAACACATCCTAACATGACTTCTAAACATAATCAACACGCGAACATGCGAAATCCCACCCAAATGTATCAAGAGCATCACAATGCAAAATTCGCAATTTAACCTAGGGCTCTAATCATATTCAAATCATCAAGATCATAGCTTATCTTTAATATCAAGAAACATCAAGATTTTTCAAGATCATCACACAATCATCAAGATCCTCTTATAATCATAAAGATTATCAAGATCAACACATAAAATCATCTCATCGATCATCAAGATCATATCACAAACATCATAAAAGATTCATCAAGACACGGGCATAGAGAAGGAGCAAAAGAAGAAGATCATATCAAGGAAAATAGGTTTTTTTGAGACATGGGTTACCTCTTAGCCTTAATCAGAATCCTTTGCTACTAAGAAACTTCTCTAAGATTTCCATCTGATCGATCTCCCTAGGCTTGGTGGTGGGGGAATCTTCTGCGAGTATTTTCGTGTAATATAACTATGGGTGGTCTGGGTTCTAAATGCTTTCTAATCCTCTATTTATAGAATCAGGAAACCTAATCATAATCTGAATAGTAAAGGCCTACTTTCTTTATTCCCAATAGATATATAGGTCTAGGATTCCTAATTAGAATATGTCTTGTAAAAGGTTTACTCCCTTTATTCCTAATAGGCTTAAGACTCTAGTTTAGGCAAGAGTCCATGACCCATGCTGGACCACATTAATTAATTAAAGGGAATACTAACCAAATTAAGTCCCTTTTAATTATTATTAACGGAATTAATTAATTAAATAATTCGGGATTAAAGGCCGCAACACGGGGTGTTACAGACCCGGAAAGTGAGGAGAACCAAAGAAGAAGAGAAGCTGAAACCAAGAGGGAGCATGATGCTATGACGCACGAGGAGCGTGTGGTCACCCTTCTACTTCAACAGAACCAGATGATCGAAGCAGGTTTCGCTTTTATGAAGACGCAGTTTGTTTCCGTTCACCAGAGGTTATATCAGATCGAGGTCAGCTCAAGCCAAAGAGGAAGAGATGACGAGGAGTCCGAGGAGGGCACCGATGAATCGGAGAGCGAGTCGTTTTAGTGCGGTGTCGTGGTAATCCCGTTCACCCTTTTTCCTTAGCTTGTGTTATCTTTTAGTTATTGCTACCGTTGCTAGTTGTTGTGGTTTGCTTCATGTGTTTGTTTTAATTGCTTGTTTTGTTGGTTTGTTGGTTTAGTGGTTTGTGCTAGGAGTTAGAGCGAGGTTTAGACCTTTTGTGGTTGGATAGAAGTTGGTGGTTGTGCTTAGTTTAGAGTTGATATGCTCAATGTCTTCGTTGATTATTTCTTTCAATCCTAGTAATGCTATCACTTCTTGCTTATCTTTGATACCGTTTTGAATCCTTTGAGTTTGATCAAACAGGGATATTCTTGACACTCTTGTCACATTTTTGTTCCATTTCATCGTTTGATCTAAATCGTCGTACCTAAGCTTCGGGGACGAAGCTTCTTTGAAGGGGGAGAGGATGTGACACCCCATAATCCAATTTTAATTAAGGGATAAATTAAGTAATTAATCCTAATCCAATTGGTAATTTAATCCCTTAAATTCCTGAAAATTCAATAGTCG